AGAAGTTAACTCCCTCTCGCTGACTAAAGCCTCATGCAATGTAACGCGCCTTAAAGACAGGCGGAGAGCCCGGCGGCCGCTTCACCCTGAAAATCCCATGCCACTACGATGTTCGCCCCAGGCGGGGGAAACCTCGTCGACGCAGGTGCCTGTGGATTTCCAGGAAGCCATCTCTATATCTATGGCTGTCTGCCACTGAGAGGAGTAGGGACCGGCCATCGCCTCTGAGTAAGAGTGTGGGGTCGTGATGTCTAGTGCATCCGGGTCTCCATCAGGGGCATCAAGCATGGACACGAGTTGGGACAAAGCGGTAGCAAAGCACTCTAACTCCTCCTGCCTGTCCTCAAGGACGTCAGTGCCAAGAGCACACACCCTCACCCCTGATGGACAAAGGTCAGACAGACTCAGACTCAGCAACTAGGCTAGTGGCGTAGTCTAGACGACAGGTGGCAGCAAAGTCGACAAGCTCAGCAACTAAGGCAGATGCAGCAGAGGACTCAAAGGAAGGGTCAGTGACAACAGTAGCCAGGAGACGCATAACAGTACGACTGGAGCACGAAGGGGTCAGACTCCGTGTCAGCAAGAGCAGGAAGAGAGGATGCAAGAAGAGATGGCAATGGGACACGCTGTGGAGCACTGGAAGGACAAAGCGCCATCCGGTGAGTGCCTGGGACAGCAGGAAGGCTCTGACGTGGGACACGACTACCAGTGAGAGCAGCACGGACAGGCGACGCACTACGAGACTCAGGCGACGCAGGATGAGACTCAGGCTCACGACGCTCAGTAAGACCTCTAGTCGGACCAGTGTAAGGAGCAGGACCAGGGAGAGAGGAGGCAGACGGTAGCTGCGACTGCAACTGGATAGACGGAGGACATCCTAAGGAGGGAGGAGGACAAGGAGGAGGGAGCTGACCAAGAACCTGCTGAAGGAGCGGAACAAAGTACGGCCGCGGCCGTGCAGTGACTCCAGAGCCAGCAGAGACACCAGCGTCAGGGTCCTCACCACCAGCAGCAACTCCAACTTCCGGGTCCTCAGCACCAGCAGCAGCTCCAACACCCGGGTCCACAGCACAGCAGTAGCACCAGCACCCGGGTCCTCAGCACCAGCAGTAGCTCCAACTCCTGGGTCCTCAGCACCAGCAGCACCTCCAACGCCCGGGTCCACAGCACCAGCAGTAGCACCAATGCCAGGGTCCTCAGCACCAGCAGCAGCTCCAATGCCCGGGTCCTCAACACCAGCAGAGCCTCCAGCACTAGCAGCACCACCAGCAGCAGCGGGGTCCGCGACACCAGGCGCGCCACTCCGAAGAGTGCAGCGCCACTCATACCACTCACAGAAACACTCACGGGAGGGGAGCTCCCGACTAGGAGGAGAAGCACTAGCACCAGTCCTAGTAGTGCGCCTGGCTCTAGAGGTACCGCTCCTGAAGCTGGAGTACTGTAAGTACCACTCACGCAGCTGCTCCGAGTAGAGGGCTCCTCCAGGTGTAGGACCGCCAGGCTCAGCACCTCCAGACTCAGAACCCCCAGACTCCGGACTCTGTTGCTCAGCACCCCCAGGCCCCACGCCCCCAGGCTCCACACCCCCAGGCTCAGCACCCCCAGGCTCCGCACCCCCAGGCTCCGCACCCCCAGGCTCCGCACCCGCAGTAGGACGAGAGTCGACAGCTACCTCAACAGGCTCAACCGGGTCTACCTGAGACACACCTGAGGGAGCGGCACCCTGAGGGGAGAGGGGGTCTACGATAGTAGCACCTGGCGCGAGGAAGAGAGGCGGGGGGGGGGGGGGGGGGGGGGGAGCAGGGCAGTGTGGTAGGGGAAGAGGAGGTAGTAGGGGACGGACTCATCAAAAGTGACATCCTGAGAGGGCAAGACTCGGCGCGAGGGTGGCGTGGTAAAACTGCCAACCAGGCGCGTCCGGAACAAAGCCGAGGAAGACGCAGGGAACAGCATGGGAGGAAAGCTTGTCCGCAGACGTATCGCGGACAAAAGCTCGAGATCCCCAGACCCGGAAACGCGACGCATCGCCAACCTCCCCCGTCCACAGCAGTGTGGGCGAGGTCTCCGGCAAGGAGACACGGGGCCAGAGGTTGAGCTGATGCGTACCGGACCGCAAACAGCCACAGAAAGTGGGGGGCAGCCGCATGGATCAAGGAGGTACAGGCGACCTCCATGACAAGGCCAGTGCGGCGCTCCGCAATCCCATTCTACTGTGGAGAGGCCGTAAGTGTGAACGACTGCTCAATGCCATGCTCAGCACAGTAGGCTGCCAAGAGGTCGGAGGAGAACTCACCACCTCTGTCAGAATGCAGGCACAGGACAGGAAAGTCCGAGTGGAAACGCTCGCTGAGCTGGAGACGGGCTCTGCGAGATCAAAGGGATCAGACATTAGGGGACCTCACCCTTGGTGCGCGAGGGGAAGACCGTGGTATAGCGCGAGTAGTCGTCAACAACTATCAGGAAGTACCTCTCCTGGCCCTGACCACGGACGCCGGCTGGGCCCCACATGTCCATGTGGAGCGTCTTCAAGGGAGCATTCGTCGGGGCGAAAACGAGGAGGAGTGAGGAGCGGCGCGCTGCCGCCCCTCGACGCAGGGAAACAGGGAGAGGATAGGTGAGGGAGGGAGGGGAGGAAGGACCCTAGGAAGGCCAGAGACAAGGTACAGGGAGTGCATGGCACAAAGCCGCGACACATACGGGTGCCAAGGCAGTGGTGTCAGAGGACAGTCTCGTGTGCTAGAGAGCGACACGAGCAGGGGGGCCGATAGTTTGACCTGACACGGACGCAAAACGCAGACGCAGCAAACCTGAGGGGGACTTAGTGGTCAGTGTGTACTAGTCTGACCCCTGGCTGCCGAGTGAAGGTAGCCAAGTGACGGCCCGTACGAGGACACGTGCAGTGTGTCATACGCTCGTAGGCAGGGGTGAACTGGTGGACACCCCCGTCCGGAGCGCACATCCTGCCACCAGGTTTGTAGGAGAACGAGAGGGAGGTGGAGATCTGTCAGTGTGCCCGGTGGGACCGCAGGATAGGGGAGGATAGTGAGGGAGGTACGCAATGACCGGACCCCCAGAGGGGTAGCGAGGGAGACAGCAGAGTGGCCGAGCAAGCGGCTCAAGGGCAATAGGCGTCACGAATGAAGCAGCGAGAAAGTCCAGTGGGAAGTGTGCAGTGCTACAGTCGACTCAATAACGGGGGGGCAAGACGTACAGCACCTAGAGCAGCTGCCTCACCAGCCTGGGGTAGCCGAAAACGCGATTACCTAGAGTGGCAGACGCACTAGTCCTAATGCCCGGTCGGGCGGCACACACAGTACTCTGCACCCTCTCCACTAGTAGACATCACATACATAGCAGTTGAGAATAGCATCAAAGTCTAGAGCATAGATATCAATCCCCTTCTTCAGAATATCAATCCAGCGGGGCAGCTCAGTGGCCTGAGGGAACTGAAAAACGCCAAGCGTCGTTGAGACAAGCAAGCACGTTGTGTGGCGTGCGGTCCCCCACACGGCTGACCAGTGCGGTCACCAGTGTGAATGACGTACGTGAAGCAAAAGCCACCCCCCCCCCCCCCCCGGTGCTGAGAGTACCACTCACAGACCTCCTGGGGCTACGGAGTGTGCTGCTAGCCCTGGCCACCGCCAGCGCCTCCACAACCACCACCGCCGCCGCCACCTCCTCGTCGACCACCCCAACCCCAGCCGCCGCCATGTCCACCGCCACCCCCACCACCGCCTCCACCCCTGCCACCTCCCTCGCCGCTGCTGCCACCACCCCCATCGCTCCCACTAGCCTCTCCAGTCGCGCCACCATCCCCACCGCCGCCACCACCCCCACCACCACCTCCCCAGCCGTCACCGCCACCGCCCTTGCCCCCTTTGCCCATGCCGCTGCGGCGCCCGCTCGAAGCAGACGCAGTACCGACCTTCTCAGCACCAAGGAAGTCGACAACAGCAGTAGAGGCGATAGAGGGAAGAAGGGGGAAGGAGAACACCCCTCAAAGAATGGGGTACGGGGTCGCCACGAGAGGCACCTACAGCTACTATGCTAGCATCAGCTGCAAGCAGTTCCTTCTCAAGGAGGGCAATGGTGAGCTCAGTGGGGCAGCGAGCTAGGAAGTGATCCTTGACAGCACGCAGAGTGTCAGGGAGGCGGGTGACTAGGTGGTAGAGAGTGAGCCAAAGTGGGGGGGGGGGTGTGTGGCAAGGGAACTGATCGGGCATGGGCAACACGGAAGCGGGCCTCACAGTACGAGGGTGCGTGATGAGGTCAGCGACTGTGTGGAACGAGACCAGGTCGGGAAACAGGTTAAGGGGAGGGAGAGACACCCTAGTGCGGTAGGAGGCCGGAGGCAGTAGCGATCAACGACAGCTGTGTACAGTGCCTTGCACTCTTGTGCTGGCCAAAGTGCTCGCGCTCGTCTATTCGGCATGGAGTTGCGAATAGCAAAGCGAGCGTGGGCATCACGAGTCTGCCACTGTGAGTGGGCAGTGGCTATCAGTAGTAGCAGTAAGTGGCACTGCATGGCCTAGGGCGTGGTCCGTACAGTGAGATGTCGTCCTTGGGGAGTGAGCTGTAGATAGAGGTGCAGGTCATCTAGCCAGGTGTCAAAACTTCACTGGGGGCGGCCCTCAGCATCGAAAACTAGCACATGTGGGGCTAGCCATAGGAGCAGTAGGAGCACAAGTAGGAGTAGGAGGATGAGGCAGGTAGGGCGGCTCGGTTTCAGGTAGGGCGGCGCGGCTCGGGTAGGGGTGGCGCAGTTCGGTTCGGGTCGCGCGGCTCGGCTCAGGTAGCGCGCCTTGGCTTGCATTGGGCGGCTCGGTTCGGTCGCGTGGCTCGGCTCGGTCCTGGAGGGCTGTGGTGGTCACGGGCCGTTCGGGGCCTCTAGAGGCGAGCGCAGGGGCCGTTTCGGGGCCTCTAGGGGCAAGCGCGGGGGCCGTAAGGGGCCGCTAAGGGGCGAGCTCGGGGCCGTTCAGGGCCTCTAGGGGCGAGCGAAGGGCCGTAAAGGTCCTGTAGAAGCGAGTGCGGTGCCGACGAGAGCCTTTAGGGAGGTGAGCGCCGGGCCAGACGAGGCTATTAGGGGCAGATCGCGGGGCCGACGGGGTCGCTAAGGGGCGAGCGCGGGGGCCGTAAGGGGCGAGCGCGTGGGTCGACGGGGCCTTAAGGGGGGCGCGCAGGTCGCTAAGGGGCGGGTCGCGGGCCTTAGGGGGCCGTGAAAAACAAGGCAGCCCTAGGGCGCAGGTAGGTAGGTAGGTAGGTAGTGTGGGGCCCAAAAAAAAAAAACGGTCCTAGCGAAGGACCTGCTGTATACCATGCTGAAATGAACGAACAGGAATGATTGAACTAACAGTGAAAACAGTACAAGTACCTAACCCTAGAATTGTGTACCCCCTATAGGCTAACCCAGTGTAGCCTAAACAAGCACAACATCTATAATGTTTGACAACCCGGGGCTGAAGGTTGATCTGATGCACTGCGTACCGAACCGCAGAAACGGCCACAAAATATGGGGAGCAGCCGCATGGATCATGGACGTACGAGCAACGTCCATGACCATGCCAATGCGGCGCTCAGCAATCCCATTTTGCTGTGGAGAGGCCGGAAGCGTGAAGGTCTGGCGGATGCCCTGTGCACGACAGAAGGCTCCTAGAAGGGCAGAGGAAAACTCCCCACTTCTGTCAGAGTGCAGCCGCACAACAGAAAGTCCGAGCCGAAACTCTCTCTGAGCTGAAGACGAGCCGCGCGGATCCAGTTGATCAACACCTTAAGTCACGTCACCCTTGCTGCGCAAGGGGAACATCGTGGTGTACTCGAGTAGTCGTCAACCACCATCAGGAGGTAACGCTCGTGGACCCTGGCCACCGACGCGGGGCGGGGCCCCACACGTCCATGTGAAGAGTCTGCAGTGGAGCCTCTGTCGGAGGAAACTCGGAGGATTGAGGGGCGGCGCGCTGTCGCCTCTCGACGTAGGGAACGCAGGTATGGGCAGGCCCGGAGGGAGGGGAGGGAGGGACCGGGGGAGACCAAAGACAAAATCACAGGAGGCCATGCCTCGAAGACGAGGCAGGGAGGGGTGACCAAGGCGTGGTGCCAGAGGAGAGTCTGGTGGGAGAGGAGACGACACGAGCAGGGAGCAGACTCAGGACCAGACCTGGACGCTGCAGCAAACACCTGACTCGACGCGGCTACCTGACGAGACTCAGCAACCGGAGGAGACTCAGTAGTCAGTGTGCACACGCTCGACCCTGGCCGACGGGAAAACGTGGCCAAGTGTTGGCCCGTCCGGCACACGTACAGTGGGTCACCTGCTGACTTGCAAAGAGTGAACTCGTCAACCCCCCGATCCTGTATGATCAGCACCACTCACCAAATTTGTAGAGAACGAGGGGAGGTAGAGACCTGACATGGTTCCAGAGGGGGCTGTCGGACACGGAAAGACAGTAGAGAAGTGAGGCAAGGACAGGACCCCAAGAGGGATCCGCGAGGGAGACCGCAACCGGCCGACTAAGCAGCCTAAGCGTGGTGCGGTCTCGAAAGAATGAGCGGGAAGCACCCGAGTCAAGGGTGAAGGTGTGTAAGGCCTGAGCCGACGTGGTACCCGAGAGAGCAGACTCACCAGCACCTGGGACAGGAGACGCACTAGCACCTAGAGCAGCAGCCTCACCAGCACCTAGAGCAGCAGCCTCAATGCCCAGGTCAGGCGGAACACACAGGTAACCGTCACCCTCATCACTAGTAGACACAACATACATGGCAACAAGAATAGCATCATAATCAAGATCAAAGATAGCAACCCCCGACCTCTGCAGCTCTCCCTAGCAAGGGATCTCAGTGGCATCAGGGAATTGGAGACACTAGGCGTCCATCAGGTGGCCGAAGCAGCGCTGGGTGGGGTGCGGACCCTCGCACTGCTCACCCGTGCGGTCGCTGGTCCGGAGGACGTAGGTACAGGGACCAGTACCCCACCCCGCTGACGCTAAGCGTACCACGCACAAAGCTGGTGGGGGGATGGGGTCTCACAACTGCGCTGCTGCTGCTGGCGCTGACCACCACCGAAGCCGCCCCGCTACGCAGAGCCACCCCGACTAGCTCCACGTCCTCCGCCGCCACCTCCGCCACGGCCGCCACCGCCTCCTCCTCCACTCCCACCGTCACTGCCGCCGCCGCCTCCGTCGCCACCCCCCGCCGCCACCGAAGCCCCCACCCCCGCCACCACTCCCACCACCACCACCCCCACTCCCTTTGTCTCCTCCACCGCCATCTCCACCGCCCCAGCCAGCCCCTCCAGCACCCTTGCCCCCCATGTCCTTGCCGATGCGGCGTCGCCGCTAGGGGCAGACGCAGCGCCGACTGACTCGGTGCCAACGAAGTCGACGGCAGCAGCAGACGCAACAGAGGGCAAAAGTGGGGAGGGGGAGCACCCCTCATAAACAGGGGCATGAGGGTCACCTCGAGAGGCTCCTACAGAGACTATACTCTTCTCAGCTGCAAGGATGCGCTCCTCGAGGAGGTCAACGGTGAGTGTGGTGGGGCAAACAGAGAGGAAGTGGTCCCTGACCGAGCGAAGGGAGTGAGGGAGCCGGGTGACTATGTAGTAGAGGGTGATGTACTTTGGGGGGGGGGGGGGGGGGGTGGATTCTTAGTGCAGAACTCAGCAAGAAGCGCAGCGCGGTAGCGGGTGTCACTAGCGCGAAGGTGCGTAACGAGGTCAGCAACAGTGGGAAAGGCAGCGAGGTCAGGAAACAGGTACGGCAGCATGAGGCGGCTAAGGGCAGTAGTGGCAGGGGAAGAGTAGCGTGCAACTACAGCTTCATACAAGGTCTGAGCACTCTTGTACTGACTAAAGTGGGCGCGCTCAGTGGACGGCAAGTCACTACTCACAGCAAGACGGGCAGCAACATGCGTGTGGCCCACTGTGAGCAAACAGTGCTATGAGCATTGGCAGCAGGGGACTAGAGGCGCCAGACGTGAGATCGAACAGGGAGAGACCGTCCTTCCTATTGCACTGTAGGAAGAGCTATAGATCATCAACCCAGACCTTGAAGTCAACAGCCCGACCCTCAGCATCAAAGACTAGAACACTAGGGGTAGCCATGACAGTAGTGGCAGTAGGCTAGGGGCACCAGTAGCAGGCGTGGCTCGGCAGTGCTCTCACCAGGGCTGGTAGATAGGGGGGCGGTAAGCGGTGGGGCAGGGCTGAGTCGCGTCGGCAGGGACAGAGCTGCGAGCGCGGCGGCAGCTCCTGCTGTCGGCGGCGACGGCTGCTGCTGCTGGTGGCCGCTGCTGGTGTTGGCGGCTTCTTCTGCTGTCGGCTGCTGCTGGTGGCGGTTGCTGCTGGTGGCGGTTGCTGCTGGTGGCGAAGGAGCCGAGGAGGGGCCGGGAAGGGTGGCGACGGGGCCAAGAAGGGCGGCGACGGGGCCGAGAAGAGGCCGCGAGGGGCCGTGAAGGGCGGCGACGGGGCCGCGAAGGGTGGCGACGGGGCCGCTAGGGGCGGCGACGGGGCCGCTAGGGGCGGCGACGGGGCCGCTAGGGGCGGCGACAGGGCCGCGAAGGGCGGCGACGGGGCCGTGAAGGGCAGCGACGGGGCCGATAGGGGCGGCGATGGGGCTGCTAGGGGCGGCAACGGGGCCGCAAAGGGGCCTCGAGGAGCCTTGAAGGGCGGCGACTAGTCCGCTAGGGGCGGCGACGGGGCCGCGAAGGGGCCGCGAGGGGCCTCGAACGGCGGCGAGGGGTCTAGAAGGGCGGTGACGGGGCCGCAAAGGACGGCGACGGGGCCGTATAGGGTGGCGACGGGGCCGCTAGGGGTGGCGACGGGGGCCGCTAAGGGTGGCGCGAGGGGCTGTGAGAGGGGCCTCTAGGAGGGTGCGACAGGCCGCTAAGGGCAGGGGACGCGACGAGAGGGCGGCCCACGGGGCGCGCCTTGGGCAGGGGCGACTCGCGCTCCGGTCAGGAAACAAAAAATCGATTTCAATGGTGGGCCCTAAGAAGCGTTTCCACTAGGGAACCTGCTCTGATACCATGTGAAGAAATGAGGAATGGAATGACTAAGGAAAATGTGGGTACAAGTAGGAAACCTAGAAATGTTGTACCCTATAGTGTCTACCCCACTACAGCCAAGATAGACCATAGCATAGAAGTTTGATAGAACCAGACCACCTCTCCTTCGAGTGTCCCGACCGCAGTGACTCCGATGATGACGACGCTAAGGGGGGCCGCGGGAGGTCTGGCACTCGTCGTCCTCGACAAGGATTGACTACGCGAGGAGAAGCAGTCGACGAAGTCGACCTTGGCGAAGGACGCCAATTCCTGTGCTAGCGGCAAGGGGTGTGACGACAAGACGGCGTCGTGGAGCCGGATGCCGGCGAGGACTTCCAGGCAGTAGCGGGAGCTGTGCAGGCAAACCTGTCGGTGGTTTTGCTCGACAGCGGCTGCTCGCACCACCTAATGGTGATGAAGGAGGC